ATAAGCATACATACTTTCACGTGTGAGAGATGGAAAATTTGATCAAATTAACAACGACTACAACATTTGCTTTGATTATTGTTTATTTTTTTAACCCATTTTTAGATTTGTTTATATAAACTGTAGTGACCTCAATGCCTCATACTTTTCTTTGTTTGTGTCCTATTATAAGACTTTTATAAGAGTTTGCTTAACCTCCAGAGACGGATGAAAGTCAGTTTATATTTGTGTTCGTGGAAAGTTCAGGCAGAAGTTAGACAAAAAAACCTCAAACTTGTGCACTTTTCGGGGTTTGGATCACCTGGACAGTTTGGCTTAGATCAATGCAAATTGACTGCAGCTCTAAAGTGGCTCGGTATCGTGCGCCAATACAATAATTAACCGAAACTCTTGGCTCAGCAGTGCATTTTTGACAGCTGATGTTTCTATCCAAACTAAGTGCAACGTTCTTCATTTCTAGCTGTGAAGAGAAGTCTGGTTCCAGCGTATATTGTTCATGTTGCCTGTTAAATCTAGGTGTGAATGGCATCAAATAACCAGCACACACACACATGAGTGTTTATGAGGGAACTCGATCTTTTTGGCATGACAATTGCATGGTGTCTGCCTCCGGCTTGCAAGACAGTGGTACATCCCTAACATGCCCACCTCTGACAAGCTGACATAGGACAGCAAATGGACTAAAGCTGATACAGTTGTTGGCCTGAAACACTGGCGGGATGCTGGATGGAGACGGTCACTTCCACAGCACTCTGTCATCTTAAATAACATTCTGTCAGTGGGCTGTATGCCTGTCGTGCTTGATGGATCACAGCCACGGCAAAGACATGCCTTTTCCCTCCCCTCTGGCATATGTGATCTGTGCAGAGCTGACTGATTCCACCGGCCTGAGCCGTGTTTCAGTTGGAGCACTGAAGGTGACGGGTGAACTACCAAAGGAGCGAAAGAAAGTTTGTATGGTGAACAAGAAGCACGGAGCAGTCTTTCAACATCCTGGGTACGACAGATCAGGGATGCCTCTATGCCGTATGCACTTCCAGCCAAGTTGAAAAATGGACTGTAATCTAGAAACAAGTATGCACCATTGAAATAAGGGGCATTATGCACCATTTATCTTATAGCAGGGAATACACATCGGGCTTGGATGCTGGAATCATAGAAATGAATGAACAAGACTTTGTCTGAATATTATTAAAGTGCCGTCTGTTTCTTCCTCCTCTGTGGCACGTTGCAAAAGTCATAAATTAGCACCACTTATTTCTGTTAGGACGCCGACAGCACAGTGAGAAGTTTTCTAATCCTTTCTTAAGATCCCATCACTCATTGTGAGTTGATTGCATGTTGCATTTTGCTTGTCACGAGTAAAGCTGATGCTAATGACACAACAGTGGCAGTAATCAAGCTGTCAGGCTGGCAGGCATGAATGTTAGCTAGCTGTCATCATACCAAAGTACAGACACCACAAGTGCACGTTTGTCTTTTAATTGGATTCATGCCTGGATGCGGAGATTTCCTCTCAGATGCTCGGATGTGTTTGTTTGGGAAAAGTGACACAATTGACCCTGTGGGGAAAAATAAAAAGCAGATGAGCTGGAAATGCTACCCTGTTGGGTAGTGCTAAATTCTGTGAGCGTCGTCTGCGCCAGTATCTGTTTCACACTCCCATAGCGCCACGGGATGCTCTGACTTCACAACGAGGCCAAAATTCAGATAAAATGATAAATGATTTTCCACCGACTGTGACATCTGTCTCTGCTGATGCTAACACACCTGCGGCTGCGAGCACTGCACTATTTATTTATTTTTCTTCCGATCACAGCTTCAGTTTTGCTGATGAAAGAACATCCATATGCTAAAATATAATCTCAGCTTGTTTTGCACCAAGTTAAACGTACCATGAAAGTGCCTGTTTAAAAAAAAAAAAAATCAATATCGAATTTGTAGAGGTATGAAATTTACAGTAAACACCTGAAGCTCAAAATTAAACATGCTTTTCTTGCTACAATGTAATTACCTGAGCGTTGGTGATTTGATGCTCACGGGATATTGCTGTGTTTACTCTCAGGACGTGACCTGCTCCCGACAAGCTGTGAGTCAGAGTGTTTTAGGTCGAGTCATGGCTGATCGTACGATACGCACCCTCCCTCCCAGAAAAGAAATAATCACAATATCCCTTGTGTGGAGCCACACCCCAGCTTCCACATCTAATAGCATCCCAGCCTGGTGGTCTCTGACGCACAGGAAGTCTAGTCTAGTCACCAACTGAAAAAACAGAGCGAGTGGAGCTCCGGTGTTTCCACTTCAGTGGCCGATGTCACAGACATGTTAGCATCAGCAAAAATGTACGCTACATTCAGTGGAGGTTTATTTAGAAACTGCGAGACGCCAAAAATTCAACTGACTTTAAACTCGACACTGCGCTTCCTCACCAGCAACCCAGCTGCAGAGACACCCGCGCACACGCACAGGGATTCCTTAACTTGGTAGTGCGCGATGGCAAAGCAGAGCGGAAAAAGGTCATGAACTAAATTAAGATTTACTGTTTTGTAAGAGCGCCGCTTAAGTGTTTTAGTTACATTATGTTTTTTTTAACATTTCAAAGGAAACAGTCAAACAAGGCATAACCACATCAGAGGGACTGGAATTATTTTTAGCCCAGAGACAGAGTGGAGAGCGTGATCTAACAGAGGAAATATTGACCGTCTGGAAAATGTACAGAAACCATTTTAAAGAAGTGTGCCAGGAAGTATGACGACTTCACTGCTCTGCTAACGGCCTGTTTATGGGACGAGAGCGAGTCACACGCTCTGGGCGCGTGTGAATACAGAACTATATGAATGTGTTTGTACGTGCAAAAGCTGCGAGTCTCTGAGCACTTTGGCATGTGCGAGTGTGTAAATATTTGCTTAATCTTAATCTTAGCCCCCAGCTGTTAGTCCTGTGGACCAGATTGGAGTGAGAGGGTGGGGTGGGGACGCTCGCAAGGAAGCCGGTGATATTGCATGAAATAAAAAAGGACAGATGCCTGCTACGTTTTTTTTTCTTTTTTCTAAAAACAATAGAAAGTTTCTTTCTGCAAATTTGGCTCATCCGTCAACACAGTCGGCACTTATCCAGCTGCAGTTTCTGCATTCATGGAGGCATGCTAGATGCTCCGGATGTCACTTGGCTTTAAAAACCAAATGCCAAACTAAGGTGGGACTTAGACTCCGTAAACAGCGTCGTTACCTATAGCTGTGAAGCTACAGCTAATGATGTTAAACCTCCATACATTCCTTTAGAAAACATACTAAAAAGGCTCGTATAGATTTTTGTTGATGCCTCCCTTCCACCGTAACCCGGAAGTGAATAAGCATTGTACTTGTACGTTCACAAGTACAATGCAAACGCAAGTTGGTAAGAGCTTTTCCAGCATGCATGGATTAAGTTGCTGCTGCATAGGCACAAGGTTTTAGGACCAAATTGTGAAAGAGGAAAATAAAGGGTGTGATAAGTGATGAGAAGCAGAAACAGAGACCTGAGGGCTGGATTGATGAAAACAACAACTCAGGAACGTGTCCAACATGGGCTTGTGAGAGGTTTTGGGGGGTTTTTTGTTTTGTTTTTTTTGCTTTTTAAGTGTTTTCCTCTCCTCAAACTGGCTGCCTCGCTTCACAGCTTCCATGTGTCTGAGTGAAAAACCCATCTGATGCCTGATGCTTTAACACGGCATTTTATTTTTCTGTGGGTTCGGCTGTCTGGCTGTGCTCCCAAAAATATTCCCCTCCTCTTTTCTTTGTGTGCCTGCCTCTGTTTTGCGAAGCCCTGGGATGCACATACCCAGCTCAATTTAGTTGACTTTTTTTTTCTTTTGCTGAAGTATAAAATTGGCTGGCTGTTAGTGAGATTTGCAGCCACCTAGAAAATGCTCTTTCTCCTGCTTGGATTTCTCGGGAAAGATAATGGAGGACGGGTATGATCGAAACAGGGTGTGCATGCGCGTGCTGTTGGATAGAAAAGCCGAAGCAGATCATTTATCCTGATCCAATACACACACGATATCTGCAGGACATGAGATCCGAGCGGCACGTTACGTGCAACAGCTGAGAAATAACATGATGTACTGTAAGAACGCTGTGAACCTAATATTGCTGTTGACATATGAGGATATTATAGAAATATCACAGTGATATGGCTGCTGTGAACTTTGTATTTATTACAGCAAAGTAGCAGTCGGCTATGTTCTCATGGAAGAATAATAAAAGTATTACAGTGGGGGGGTTTATACAGTGCATTATGGTCTGTTGGTATCATGCCTGGATAATGAACACCCAGTCTTCTATTATTTATCTAAAACATATTTTTTTTTGCCAAACTAAATGTGTTTCTGATTGCAGTCTTGAAGCCTGGACAGTAGACGTTTTTGTTTTTCTGTCATACGGCTGTTATTAAATCGCATCACTTTCAGTTTGTGTGCACAGTTTCTCTTTTTTTTGCCTGTTTTGCTACATCATTCCTGTCATGCTTCACCTTCTTTCATTCTCTTGTGTTTAAATTGTCAGCTACACCACCCTCACACCATCTCTTTTTAAAATGTTCTCTCTCTCTGCAGATATATGTGCATGTATACACGCCTCCTTTGTATATCCTCTCTTTCTCCTCTCATAATCCTCTTTTTTTAACCAACTTATTGCTATCCTCTTAATCCGTCTCTGCATTTTCCTCCCATCTGTGCTTCCCTGCAGGAACCTTGTGGAATCTGTCATCCTATGAACCCCTGAAGATGGTGATCATCAACCACGGCCTGCAAACCCTGACCAACGAGGTGATAATCCCCCACTCGGGTTGGGAGCATGAGCCCAACGAGGACTCAAAGCCGCGGGATGCAGAGTGGACCACCGTGTTCAAGAACACCTCCGGCTGTCTCAGGTAGGATCCGCCCTGGACTGGATTACTGGCTCCAACTAAATTATGAA